AAATTTTATTAAACTACTTTTTGTTTATGTTATACCAATTTGTATAGCATAAAATTGTAGCTAATGTGAGAAAAGTGACATTTTCTTCAGGCATTCCCTCCTCTCTACATTTTTTAACACCCTTCCAAGAAGTATGAAATTTAACATAAATTACTCATTATAATGTTGTCATTACTCAGGAAAAGCATAATTTTTATAACCTTCAATTTTGTTCAGTTACAGAGCTATCAAATACAAAGTCAGACCCACTTACCACATCCACCAGTCACATTCTCCCTTTCAGGATTTCTTAATAATTCTCTCTTACGTTTAATTCTATATTATCTATAACCAATAGAAAGCCAAGGTTTTGATCAATCAAATGATGTATTATATTATGTTATGTTCTGAACAGAGAATTGTCAATTTCTCTTTTAGTGCAAGCTTCATTCCCTTGGGAAAGATAGAAACTAACTTGGATGAATTTGTAACAGCTCTTGTTGCATAGTTAGAATGCCAGAAAAATTGTGATAGTTAGGGGAAATTGTCTGCTTTTTCCATGTTATTATTCTATGTTCTTTAGTTCATTATCTAATTACATAAAAATTATTGCGTGCAATACTACCATTATTATTAAAAAGTAGGGTTAGGTGTCATCGACAGTCAACAGCAAAAAAAAAAAAAGAAGATATGGGTAAGTACTTTATTTCTTGTTTCTCATGTTTGTTTATTATTATTATAAAAGTTACTAAAATGTAAAAACTAGGCATCTCTTTAGGTTAGTTAAGGTTAGATTATGTAAAATAAATAATAATATAATAAAAATGTTTCATGAGGCACAAAGGCAAGCAGCTCGTGGGTAACGTAAATCAATAGCATAACATAAGCTCCACGTTCCCCAAGTGATTTACAACTTACAATGGTGCGAATGGTAGTTAGACAAGTTTCAAAGGGCAATACAACAATAAAATTTAATCATAAATAGATGTATATTGTTACAAGTTTAAAGCTACTTAGAATAAACGAATGTAGTTTCATGTTTCATTTGAAGTCATTCTAGAAAGAAAAAGAGGTAATTTAGATTTATTTCTATTTTTTTTAGTAGTTATGAGGTCGACCAAATTGACAAACTGAGTATAGAGTTAGGGTAGAGAAAATAACATAAACTATAATGTTTTACTGAAAACAAACATTTGAAAAGTATTTATGAGGTTTTAGAGATTTCACAAATGAAATTTGAGATTTTTAAGATGTAGAAAAGTATTTTTAATCTTAATATGAAAATCACTTCGCACTCAAACTATTCAAACAAATACTCGATATATGCACAGATAAATCTCTTTTTTTTAATTTATTAACATGAAAATTACTTTGCATATGGACTATTCAAAAC